GCGATCATCGCAAAGCGATTTTTACCCATAGGGACTATCGCTAAGCGATTGCTCTGGCAATGGCCAAAACCTCATCGCTAAGCAATTTCATCGCTCAACGTAGCAATTGCTAAGCGAGGCACCACTGTAGTTTTAATAAACGTCTAAGACCTATTCGTGTGTGGGATATTAGCAAAGTATCATCTGCATAGAATAATATTGAAATAAACTTCCTACCTACTCTTACAAGGAAAATTGCAGTCCAGTTAACCTGGCTACCATATCATTGATGTACAAATTGAAAAGCAATGGAGCTAGGATACAGTCCTGATGGACACCTTTAGATGTTTTAACTATGTTAGATAGTTTACCAGAAAAGCCGGCTCTGACCTTTAGGGAAGTATCAGTATGGAGGTCTTTGATTCTTTGTAGCAATCTAGGATCTGTTTTAAGATTTATAAGTTTTCCCCCACAAACGACCTCTTGGGATGGAATCGAAAGCAGCTTTGAGGTCAATCAATGCCACATATAATTAGCCTGAAAATGGAATATCATATTTGTTAATTAAATGGTTAAGCAGAAAAATATGGTCCGATGTTGAATGTCCCTCCCTAAAACCAATTTTAAAAGGAGATGTCTTGCGTAAAGTTTGCCTATTACATCAAGCAAACTTATAGGTCTGTAATTGGCTGGGTCCTTTCGCTCACCTTTCTTATAGTAGATGGGCACGACAAGTGAAAATGACCATTCTCTAGGGGTGCCACCCACCATATCTATATAAGTACAGTGGGCCCTCGACTTACGAACGGCCCTATTTACGAACATTTCTACTTATGAACCGCTCCAATGGAAAAAAATTTCCTTGACTTCTGAACTGAGTTCGAGTTACGAACGGAAAAACGGCAGGGGGAAATGGCGGGAAATTCAAAACGTTGGTGGCAAAGAGGCTGCTTCTTTGTAGCTCTTTCGCCCCAATGGTTTGGAAAAGGGAGGCTCAGCTTCCTGGGCTCCCAGCACTGCTGCGCTGGGTTCAAGCTAAGGGGCCGGGAGTGAGGGCGTGCGGGCGAACCAGAGGCCACCTTCCAGCTTCCTGGGCCGGAGCCCATAGAACAAGGGGGAGATGGAGAGCTTTCCTTTGGCGCCGCCCTGGGGAGAGCTCGGGCGGCCTTCCCTCTTGGCTGCTTCGCCGGACGGCTCCATCCCATGCTTCGCCCGCCTTCCACAGTGCATGGAAGAGCCAGCCCCGCCCGGAGTCTTTGCCTCCCTGCGTGGAGGAATCCCCTGCCCGCACCTCCGGCGCCCCTCTTCCTCAGCTCTTCCCTCTGGCTCTGCCACGGCGCCTCCACTCCCCTCCTTGCCCTTTCCTTCCTCGGGATTCCCTCCCGCCCCGCATCGCCCCTCCCTCACCTCTGCTGCCAGCGTTGCTGGTTGTGAAGTTCCCGCAACCCATTGCCTGCCTGCCTGCCTGCTTGTTGGTGGCTGCTGAGGCGCTCTCACTCTTCTTCTCCTCCGAATGTGGAAGCGGCGAGGGGGAGCAAAAAGAGGAGCGCTCCGCCTCCAAGGAAGGGATGTCGCCGCCGGAGATGCAAGAGCAGGAGGTTGGCCCCAAGAAGGCACTGAGGGGACACCTCGCTGGCTCCGCAGGCTTGCCCTTGCTCTGAATGAAAAATGCTCCTTTTGTACTCTGGAGCTGTGGCATCGCCACGGCGTCGGAAGGCTGAACTTGGCCAGGGCGCTCTGGTCGCTCACCGGCCTCGCCCTCCGCCATGGCTGCAGCTGGGGGGAGTGAGTGCCATCGGAGGAGGTTTTGGACTGGCAAGGTAGGGCGCTGCTTTTTAAAAACTCTTCTGGGTGGCCTTTACAAGGTGGCTTTGGGGTGGGGGGTTATGTTTCTGCTCTTTTTCTTTTCTGGTGAATTTTTTTTTCAGTCCCAGCGTGGGACTTGCTCTGATGTTTATTCTGGGGTTTGGTTTGGTTTTGTTATGCACCCCAGCGCCTTCGGGTTTGCTCTGTCACTGTATTTGGTTGTTTTTTTAAACCTCAGTGCCTTCCGACCTGGCATGCTGTGTTGTTTTTATTTTGGGGGGTATTTTTTTCTTCAGCTGGAATGGATTAATGGGTTCTCAATGCATTCCTATGGAAAATTTGGGTTCTATTTACGAACGTTTCGATTTACAAACCTCCTTCCAGAATGGATTAACTTTGTAAACCGAGGGCCCACTGTAACTTTTACAGGTTTATTATAGAAGGTCTCAACCTTCTATATGTTATAACAGTTTTTATTCACTCTTCTCAATAATTCCACCTCAGATCTCCCAAATACCACACACTCTCTCCCTCTCCACTCTCATCTCCCTCTTGACTCTGACTGACTGTTCACTCTCTGACTCCGCATCTTTTCACATATCTCTCGGCTCCTCCTCTCAGCAACATTAGCCTGCAACATGAATATTCATGACTACTTAACATAATAAGGGTGAACGTTACAGCCCCTCTGTCCGCATGCCGAGGTCGAGGATCGGGATCCCACCATCAGGTGCAGTAAGACCCCTGGCACTGCCTTCCCCCACCGTTGCATCCCTTTCCCTAACAGTTGGGGCAAAAGAGCTATAAAGACGCAGTCTCTTCGCCACCAACAGTTTGACTTTCCCACCTTTCCCCCCTGCCTTTTCCTGGTTGTAACTCGAAGCTCCAGGTGTAAGTCGAATTTGTTTGTTCATTTGTTTATTATCCTGCCCTTCTAGACTATGTCTACTCAGGGTGGCTCACAATAAAATTACAGTGGACCCTCGACTTACAGAATTAATTCGTATTGGAACGGTGGCTGCAGGTCGAAAAGTCCGTAGGTCGAGGGTCCATTTCCCATAGGAATGCATTGAAAATCATTTAATCTGTTCCATCCAAAGGAAAAAAAAAATCCCGGGCTTCCAAAGCTGCACCCACTATCCTCTATCTCCTTTTCCCATTGCCCTCTGCCTCTCACCCCCGTGGGGACAGGAGGCAGAGGGCACCAGGGACAGGAGACAAGAGGGCAGCGGGTGCAGCTTTGGAAGCCCGGGAAGCCAAAAGCCGGTGTGTGGGGACAGGAGGCAGCTTTGGAAGCCCCAAAAGCCGGCAGTGGGTGTGGAGGTTTGGGCGGCTTTTGGCTTGCGGGGCTTCGAAAACTGCACCCGCTGTCCTCTTGTCTCCTGTCCCTGGTGCCCTCTGCCTCAGGCAGGAGACAAGAGGGCAACGGGTGCAGCTTTGGAAGTCCGAAAGCTTCACATTAAACAGAGTGACATTGTGAAGTTTTCCTGTGGTGGAGTGACATGAAAAAAAAAACACCACATGAAAGTTATGAGTGGTGAAAAAGGCTTGTCTGCAGCCTTTAATGTCTGTGGGGCATGCCAACACACTTCTAGTAGATTATCCACAATCATTCTTATTCGGTTGACTTCCTCTACTCCCTGCAGACTCAACAGTACATGAGAAGTTTAACTTCAGATGTTTTCTTAGTCTCTTGCCTAGGGAAGTGGATGAGAAATGACTAAAGAAGGGTGTAATTGTGCAATGGGCAAATAGTTAATCATGAGCCTGGAAAAATGTGTTTTGGATTACCAAACTCAAATTCTGTTCAAATATCTGCCTGTTTAAGAAGCCCCCCTTGCATGCACCTCAAAGCCATCACTGCACAGCATGAGAAGGGTTATTGTCTTATTCCTAGATGGATCCATAGAATATAAAGCTACCAGTGGACAGTTGCTCTTCACACCCTATGTTGCCAGGCAGTGTGCATCTAATACGTGTTGCTAGGCTGTAACAGGTATGGCCCTCATCCTACTTGTGGCCCTTCCTTAGGTGTCTGATTAATGTGGGAAGCAGGATGCTGGGCTAGAGAGGCCTTATGTCTCTGTAAAAATACCATATATTTTTTGTTTTGTTTATTAGTCCTTTTGCACATCATGCTACCTGGCAGAACTAAAGAGCCCCAAGAGTCCAGGTTGTTCTTTGTAGTCTCTTTGTCAACAGTGCAGACCATATATGCTTGTGTTTTGCTAAATAGTGGCTGTTATGCAGAACAAAATTCCACTGAGATCAGCAAGATTTACTTTTCAACAGCATGTTAAGGTTCAAGACGTATTAAAAAAAACACAGGCTTGATAGCAGCACGACTTGAAAATCCTGCGAATCTGCAATGTGGTTGAAAAAGCATTGTTAAACTAGCCTGTTGGAAGATTTAAGTTGCTTCAATCATTAAGTATTTTAGGTAAAAAAAGAATATGGCAAATTGTGCTGCTTATATACTGCCCCATATAGTACTGGGTGGTTTACAAGTTAATTATGCAGGCTACACATTCTCCTCCCCGTAAGCTGGGTACTCATTTTACTGACCTCAGAAGGATAGAAGGCTGAGTCAACCTTGAGCCGGCTACCTGGGATTGAACTCCATGTTGTGAGCACAGTTTTGGCTGCAGTACAGCAGTTTCACCACTGCACCACAAGGCCCCTTATGACATAAAAAGGACATAATGACTTGTTGCTGACTTACAATTAGCCTGGTTAGGCCCAGGTGTTGAGGATTACTATAAATAAGTCGAATAAATAATACTGTGCAAAGGATTCTGCTTTTTTCTTTCTTTCTTTTTTCTTTCTTTTTCTTTTCGCTTGTTTGCTCCATAGTGATGACAAAGGTAATCTTTAGTTTATCACTTGTTACTACACAGCTTTCCAGGGATATGTCACAGCTTGCGTGTATTTTTTGACATGAACTTATCATGAAAATATCGTGGGTTTTGGGGGGGGGGAGAGAACTAGCAAGCCCCTTTCAGCTATGAACAGAGATTATGTATTACACTTCATATCTCAGATCTTCCACATGTTGATTTTATTACATAACTGAGCTGCATGTTGGTTCCAGATTTAGAAGATTAAGGACTGGAAATGATCCAGATCATTTAGGTTAGCAAGAGAAAGAGAAGGGTAAATGGAGATAATCTTCTGTGATAACCAAAGAGGTATCAAATTTGTTTGCTTTGTTTCAGGACAACATTGCTTTGTTCTTAAAAGGCTGCAAAGAACTGGGTCTGAAAGAATCGCAGCTTTTTGACCCAAGTGACCTTCAGGATATCTCAAGTAGATCAACAGGAAAGTAAGTAAAACTTCACTTGCATTTCTAGAAGTATACTAGTCTGCAGTGTATTTGTAATCAGTCTTTTGCTGTGTGGTTAAAAAGTACACAGATCAGAAGTGCTGCATGGCCTGTGAGATGTTAATTTTGTGGGTAATTATGTTGTGGGTTTTCCCCCGCAAATAAAATAATATTTAGTAGTGTGTTTACATTTGTGATATAACGAGTAATGTTTCCTGATTACTTCTAAAACATTGCCTTTGGGTTGTTACTTCAGAAGATTCTTGGTAATTACTGTATTATATAAAGAATATGTATCTAAAAAATGACAGCTAACTTAAAAAAAACTTACATGGCAAGTATTGGGCGAACTCCTGTTGTTGTAACTTCACTGTGGCGTAACCTGGATCAGGTGCCAGAAGCATTTAATGTAAACTTGTGGGACGTTTACCTATCAACCTGCCCCCCCCTTTCAGGTTCCAAGGCTCCTGTGGGATTCTTTTTGCCCTAGTGAAGCCTTGATCCAGGTTATGCAATGTAATGTTAAGCAACAAGATCTGGTCCATTGAGTAACAGGTAACAATAAAAAGTTACTTCTTTTTTGTTTATATGAAAGTGCATATAGAGATGCAGTGATTAATAAATTAAATTTTTAAAATGACATCCCAAATTCTGGAATTATAAGATTGGTGACTTTTTAAAAGTATCAATCTATTAATCTTTTAATGCTCTTTGAGGTAGATCATGTGACTAAGTTTCAAGATATCTTGCCCTGGCTATGCCATAACCATGACCATTTTTAATTTATGTTCTTTATGGGGGGGGGCAAAAGGAGAAAAGAAGAGAGTTGTGTCAAGCTTCACATGGTGGTAAAGGTGTTTTTGCATATTTCTGACATTTTAAACAATGGAAATGCGGGGCACTCCAGATCATCAGTACTATTTCTCCCAGCTATGTTCCCAACAAATGTCACTCCTCTGAATGTGCTATTTGTGTCCAGGAGACATTTTCCATTAACAGTGAAAGTAGATTGCACCTTTTAGATTGAGTTGAAGACAAGTCTCAAGAGATAAAACAGAATAATATTGGCAAAGGTTAAAAAATCTGCTGCTGACAAGAATTGTGCACTCTGTTACTAAAATCCATGTTATTTAAAATTAAGTGTTGTTCCTTTCTTCTTATTTATAAATGTTTTAAGTGTTGGATCGTATTTACAACCTTGCATGTTGTTTAACAAAAAGGAATTTTACCGGAAATTCAAAATTCTGAAACAGTAAGAAACACATATGGGAACTAGTTGCAGTAGTAGAAGTGGAGTAAATTTAACCGCCTTCCTTCCTTCCTTCCTTCCTTCCTTGAGGCTAGAAGATGTGCTGTAGGTACACAGGGAGAAGTTCTTTTCCTGTCTTCTACAACATGTTCCTTGCTGATCAGTGAGAGCTTAGCTATGTGCAGCAAAAGAAGAGGAACTCAGAAACTGCAGTAAATAATAGTCAAACCGACTAGGGCTGAGATTGATGGTCGATGGTTGTGTGGGAGGGTGTAGAATCCTATCCTCAAGGTTCCAGCTCCTGTAAAAGTAGAAGAAGAAGGTTGATTTATTGATATCACAGTAAGCATGTCTGTGGTAAAGGAGGACCAGATGAAGGATTTGAAAGGTCATTGAGAAGTGAATCAGAAGAACCGCCCAGCTCAAAAGCACCAGTGCAGAATATTTACTGTACTAATAATTTTGTTGAACCACTGAGAAGTTTAAATATAACCTGTTGCTTTAAAAACAAATTATATGCTAATAATGAGATAAAAGTCTTGTTTGGCTTTGCTTTAAAAACCCACACTTAAATTTATGGCACTTAAAACCATATTTACTTTACCCATACTCTTAGGTAGGGAAAAAAAATTAAACATCTTGTTGCGGATTAAAGGGACTTTCAAGATAGTTTATAGTACTCATCAAAGGAGTCTCAATAGCCCTGTGATTAAATCAGTTATGATCTCTGATTAAAACAGTAGACAGTATGTCTCTGTGTTGATGAGACAGAATTAGATCAGGCAAAACATGTCACCATTACCCGCCCACATACACATAGCAGCAAATATTGTTATCCTGGAGCAGGAGAAATAAATAGCATTGAATTTATTTGTGATGTTTTCTCTTCTGTTCTCTAGTTCAAAGATCATTTCCCAATAAATAAATAAATAAAAATAAATAAAGATCATTTCCCAATAAGGTTCCAACCAGGTCCAGACCTCTTTAGTATCACAGTTCAAACTACCGGTACATTATCACACCTCGATCATTTTCTAGAATGTTACCTAGAAAATCAATAAGGTTCCAGCCAGGTCCAGACCTCTTTAGTGTCACAGTTCAAACTACATTATCACACCTTGGATCATTTTCTAGAATGTTACCTAGAAAATGACCCAATGTGGCCCACCACTTATTGGGTGCATTTTAGTGTAGGACCTAGTTGTGCCAAGTGTGAGTAAGGGACTGTATCTTTATTGGGAAGGCCAACAGTGGTTGAAAACTGGTTCATCGTTAGTATTGATGGAGAAGTTCCCATACTGATCCTCTCTGTGGTTCAGCTCCGGGCTAATAGAGGTGTTAGAGAAAACATTTGTAAGACTTCATTCCTGTTGTTTGCCATTCTTGATTCAGTTCACACCATTCGCCTTTAGACACACTTGATTCTGTCTTTCAGCAACTCAGAAGTTTGGCATCTTGATGCGTTTGCTAGGAAAGAGTGCAACTGGTCATGCCTCTGAACCTTTTTTACAGACATGAGTCTTTAGCTTTTGCCCTGTTTTAATTTTTGATATGGCTACCCAGGAGGCCAGGCCACCCTGACATTGCTCTAGCCCAGTGTGAGTTCCTAGACCAGCTTTCCAAGAAACAAAAGTTGTAAATGTGTCTGGACCCCTGGTTCTAGCAGCGGCTCCCTTTTTCATGCACAAGTACATTAAAACTCTTGAGGGTTACCTACTTGAGCCAGCAGTCAATCAAACAGGAGGACCAAAAGGGCCATTATCCTTAGCCTGCCTTATAGGTCTCTGCATTCCATACAAGTTTGGATTCATGAAAGCAAAATGATTAAAATTCCTAATATTGTATTTGTTTTTCTGTCTCTCCAGCAACTGCCCTTTATTTGCACATCCAACATTCAAAAATGTATCCCTTGTGCATTATAGCAACCTCTGGATTTCACTTAACAGTGTAAACGCTGTTATCTAGAGGGTCATGCACTGTATTGTTTATCCAGAGTTAGCTCATGGGCTTCTGAGGAGTCAAGTGTAAGCCAAAATCAAAGCAAATGGGCTGCTAGAAGAAGATACTTTGACATCCCTCATAACCTCTGGTTCTTCATAGCTAGTTGTGATTTCCTCAACATCTTAACCCAGCTGTTTTCTGGTGATCTTTCAAAGAACAGTAGTTTTCTGTTTAATGCTAACATTCATGATTTGCAGCCTAAGCATGTGAACTGTTATATTCAACATAAAATACTGTAATGTCCTTATATGCTAAATCCCATTAAAGCCCCAAGGTTTACACATGGGCAACTGAAAGTTTGATTACAGTTAATGTATTTGGAACAGGGCACAAGCATGGTTGTCGTAGGCACAAAAGGAACAAACAGGCTAAAAGTAGACACTGAAGGACCTCAATACATGACAGCATAGATCAATAAACAGATTATATTCATTATATGATCAATACCAGAATGATAAGGATACTTGACATAATACTTCAGTAAAATGTTAATTGTTCTTGACGTGAGCATCCTATGTTGAGTTGACTATGGTTATCCTTTTCAGCATTCTCCAGGTAGAGAAAACTCTGAAGTGACTTACCATTCCTTTCTTCTGGGGGGGCATCCTGAGACTGTGTTAACTTGCCCAAGGCTATATAGGCTGGATTTTTTTCTTACAAAGCACAGTGGAGAACCGAATCCCCGATTCAAGGCTTCATCTCACTGAGCTATCCAGCCAGCAGCTCTTGATATATGTTCTCTCTAATCCGTGCAACAGTCCCTAAATGTCCCCTTGCTGCATTTATGACTATTGTGAGATTTGCACTTCCCCATCAGAGTTTTAACCTCTCTCCTGGCATTGCAAAGTGTGCTGCTTATACACTGTCCCATAGTGCTTAAAGCTCTCTCTGGGTGGTTTACAATTTAATTACGCAGGCGACACCTTGCTCCCTCAGCGAACTGGGTACTCAGTTTACAGACCCTAGAAAGATGGAAGGTTGAGTCAACTTCAAGTCAGCTACAAGAGACCTGGATCAAACTCGGGTCATGAGCAGAGTTTGCTTCACGGTAGTACAACCACTGCAGCAGTACAACCACTGCACCAATGAGTCTCCTGCCACCACAAGGCTCCTTGCATAAAACAACAGTTTTGTGGAACTTTCAAAGTGAATGTATTTCTTGTAGCATCAGCTGCTCTAGACAAAAAAAAGGCATGACTGAGAAAAAACATGCATGAAGTAGGTACTTAGAACTGGTGCAAGACATAGCTCTACCTGAGGTAGGAGGATTCCATGCCACATTGACCCCACTTCCCAGTTGGCTTTGCCACTCCCACCCCAATGCTTTAGCAGGTGCCATATGGGCAATGTGGCCCATCAGCTGTCTTCCTCAGAAGAAGGCATTGTGGGTGAGATGGGCATGGGCACTGCCTGCACCATTGCTTTGCCGTGACAGTGACTAACATAACTTAAGTCAGTGGTAGGAAAGTAACATATTAAAATTAGTTCAATTATATATTACACTGCAAATTTGCTATCAAAAAAGGGGAAACTACGTGTTATATTGGTGTTTACTGCCAACTGAAGTTTGTATTTTTACATTAAAGTTATTCCAGAATTAAGTTAGCATTGGAGTTGTATTGGTATTATTATTTTTTTAAGTCAGAGAAACTGCAGGAGGCAAAGTTGGGAAGGTTTCTCATATTGCCCAGAAGTGAGAGAACTCTATTATCTCAGAGGATTCAGGTTCAAGTCCCCAAAGAACCATCAAGCTCACAGAGTGAACTTGGGCCAGTCCCTCTCTTTCAGCCTGATCTTCTTTGAAGGCTTCCTTTCAGGATAAAATGGGGAGGAAAAGAAGTGTATATTTTGCCTTAGTTCATTGCAGGAAAGGTGGAGCATAAATCTAAATAAGTAGTAGCAAATAAACATCTGTGCAAAAGCCAGTTAAGTAACAAATGCATGAAACAATATCTAAAATCATGAGTTTGTTTTGGAAGCTAATTTGTTAAGACCAAAAGGTCTGTAATCGTAGGTGTAATTTTTCATTATCATTGTGGTAGAGCATTTAGTGTTGTAATATAAATATCTTTAAGCTTCATTGACTATGCAAAAGCCTTGTATAAATATCTTTAAGCTTCATTTATGCAAAATGTGGACCCAGCAAGCTATGGCAAGTCCTTAAAGAAATGGGAGTGTCTGACCACCTTATCTATCTCCTGAGAAACCTATACGTGGGACAAGAAGCAACAGTTAGAACTGGATATGGAACAACCGATTGGTTCAAAACTGGAAAAGGAGTACGACAAGGCTGTAGATTGTCTCCCTGCATATTCAACTTACAGTATATGCAGAATACATCAGGCGGAAGGCTGGACTGGAGGAATCCCAAACCGGAATTAAGATTGCCGGAAGAAATATCAACAACCTCCAATATGCAGATGATACCACTCTGATGGCAGAAAGTGAGGAGGAATTAAAGAACCTCATAATGAGGGTGAAAGAGGAGAGTGCAAAAAATGGCCTGAAACTCAAAATCAAACCTGAGTGCTCACTGGAAGGACAGATCCTGAAGCTGAGGCTCCAATACTTTGGCCATCTCCTGAGAAGAGAAGACTACCTTGATGTTGGGACGCTCACCACCTTGGTGCATGCACTCGTAATTGGAAAAGCCCCTGATGTTGGGAAAGTGTGAAGGCAAGAGGAGAAGGGGACGACCGAGGATGAGATGGTTGGACAATGTCATCGAAGCAACCAGCATGAATTTGACCAAACCCTGGGAGGCAGTGGAAGACAGGAGGGCCTGGCATGCTCTGATCCATAGGATCACAAAGAGTCGGGCATGACTAAATGAAACAAATTGTTAAAAGTTTCCTCTTTCAAAAGAAATACAATCATACTAGTTTATTTAGCTTATTAAAATTAAACTAACATGTTGGCCCTTTTCCATCAACAATCCCATTTCCAGTTCAAAGAATGGTATAAATTGGGTGTAGGTACCCTGGAAAGACTCATCAGAGCCCTACAGAAAGCAGCAGTGTTCCATAGTGGGCAAGTGATAGTTGCCCTCCTGTTTGGAGAAATACAGAGGTAGCTGGGGATCAGGTTAAAATAAAAGTAAGGTTGGAGCTGCAGCTAAGACGGAAAATGAAGAGCAGTTTGCACATCTGTTTGCATCAATGCATCACCGCCACTAGATCACCTGGTGACAGTGATACTGCTGAGAACAAAATAGCAAGTGAACAATTGATGCAAGCAGAGGCACAAAGGCATCACTACAGGTGTGTTCAAGTACTTCTAAACATTGTGAAGCAGGGCTCACTGTGCAGGAGACAACTATTAGAATGCTTTGGGGGGATTGTGGATTCTGGGAGTTGTAGTCCCCCCCCCAGAAAAAAACTTTTCCCAAGCTCTGATACAGACAAAAGTTTATTAATCCAACGTTCTACATAGAGGTTTAGTGCAGTGTGTCCTCTCTTTGTGTTTGTTTTAGTACTGGCTTCATTCTTTCAAGGAATAGGTGCTTTAAATGCTGTGTAATTAAGTTGTCTTAAGTGCTTGAAACATGTTTCATGCTATAAAATGAATGAACGATTCCTCTCTGTCTTCCCAGTTGCTTTCATGTGTTTTTAACCAGCAGACACATCCTGGGGGCTTTTGTTCGGGAAAACATGTGACCTATTGCATGATACAAGCTCTTGGAAAGAGTTTCTGCTTTCTGATATTTCTCTCTCCTTTCTTTTTGTGTCCGCTGCACATCTAGGAACCATGACTTCAGCAGGAAGCTGAAAAATGTAAGTATTCGCATTTGCAGTGTGTTCCCTCTGCCCTATCACAATTCTGGATAGTTTTGTTGCTGCAACCCAAGCTGGAAGATCAAGTGTAGCTATGTGGCTGAAAAGAGCTTTTGTGTATAGGCATGCACTTTGTCTCTTTGCAATTCATGATCTGTAGGGCTACTGTGGAAAGCTATCTTTGCTCCAGCTTTGATTAGGAAATAACGTAATTCCCATAGGCACCAGCAGTTTTTCATGCCTCCCAGAAATGAAGCAATTACTATTTTTTTAAAAAGACCCCAAGTCTTTCTGATCTTGTTGCAAAGAGTAACTTGGATTTCTGTAAGGTTAACAGATTTGTGTCCGACACTATAAGAAATAGCTCTGATGTCATAACTGTGATTGTGTTACATAAACTTTGCAGGCTGTCATTTTCCAATGCAGCTATACAGTTCTCTTTGTTTCTGTATTTTCCATACAAGATTTTATTTTCAAAGCAGCCTTTTCTGCTCACTCACCCCGTTGATTGAAACCATTGACAACAGTAGTAGTTTTGGAAGTGTGCAGCGAGGAAGGAAATTTTAAATTCAGTTGTTCGCCGAGTTAGATAAACTGTTCCACGCCAGACAAAACTTCTGGTTTTAGTGTCAACTGTAAACTACAAAGAATTCAAATTGTACTTGGCTGACATCCTTGAACACTCTAGGGAAATGCCAGGACCTTTCAATAATAACTTTTCAAGCCCACAATCATAGCCACAGGTGAAAAGGGCAACATTATTTTATCCTTCTTTTCCTGTCATCAACATTGTAATCGTTTTGCCTCCACCTGTGCATGAATGTAGAAATGAAACTTTTGGTACTGTTTCATTTAAAGTTGCTGATGCAAATGTTACAAGAAAGCTAAAGCAAAACAAACATCTATTTATCCTCCAGGGCATTGTTTTTCAAAAAGTTAGGAATTATAATGCAAGTTCATTTAAAAAAAAAACCCACCAACTCTTCTGTTCCAACAATAGAGTTGTTGAAACCTGTTTACTGAATATGAATCTATTATTAAAACTCTTTCAATATTTCACTCTTTCGCTATTATTAAAACTCTTTCCCAGCATAATTCGAATCTAGTAAGAGCAGTAATCATGCTGCCAACATTTTAAAAGAAAATAAGAGACACTTCAGTAGATGCTTGATGAGACTTTGAAATGATGCTATCAAACAACAAGTTCTCATGGTGGGAAGATTCAAATTTCAAAGGTGGGACTCCAGAGTTATAGTTTTATTATGTTTAATTGCATCATTTAATTTTTATTTTATTGTTTAACATTTTTGTTAGTTTCTTAGTGAATTGCAAGGAAAAGCTTTAAGTATTTATTGGTTGAGTCTGATTCTAGGAATATCCAGTCATTTGCATATTGATGCAGAAGTAATCCTCACTGCACTTCGCA